AAACTAATTCATATCTTCCACTTAAATAATATGTATTTTATTTAAGGTTTTTGAACTAAGTTTAAAAAGATAGTAAGAGGTTATTCAGAGTTTCTCAAACAAAAGCTTTAGAAATTAAACCTTTCGGCTTTGATTCGAGTATTTAATTAGGAATTTCTTTTTTATTAGTTGAAAAAGTAAAAGAGTTAATGGAGTGTTTCTAAAAGACTTTTTAAAATAAAATCATAATCAGTCAAAGCTTATATCGAAGTAAGTAATTCAAATGAAGCTAGGAAATATTACAATAAAGTTTTATAAGTTCACAGAAACAATTTGAATCTTTTATTTTCTTCTTATTTTAAAATTAGAAACTGTATAACAACTTCGACAAAACAAATGAATATAATATTTATTCTAACATCTATTGAAGAATCATTTATGATTTTATCAAAATGGATGAAGAAGTCAAAAAAATTTAATCAAAAGCTTTAGAATTCAAACCAAAATTATTTTAAGCATTCTTTTATTAGAAGTGGGATAAATGAATGAAAATGTTGAAAAAGAAGCAGTAACTTTTTTATTGAAAGTTAATGATATTTTTTCAAATTATTTTCAAATAAATAAATAAATAAATTAGTAGGATTATTTCATTTATAAAATGGAAAATAATATTAAGCAAAATAAATGCTATTTTTAGTATTTCTTATTAAATCAACCCTCAAGATTATAAATAATAAAATGATATTCTTATATAACTTTAATTAAGCTGAAACTTCAAAGCAAAATTATTAACACTTATACTTTTTGTCTATTTGTTTCAATTTTTTTATTTGTTAAAATTATTTTTTTTAAGTTTTAACTCAAATCATATTCATTTAAGAAAAAAGTGTATCAATTTTTAATATTCTTATTTTTTCTAAAAAATATTTTTCGTACCCAATCTCTAACTAAATATTTATTCTTCATTTACTTTATTAAAAATATATAATAAAATCCTTTTTAATACATTAGATTAGATAAATCAATCAATCATATTGTTAATTAAAATATAAGAAAAATAGTCAATTACTTAAAAATAGATGGCGAAATAAAAAATATATCAACCAAAAGCTCTTTGTTGATTAATCAAAAAGATTATATTGAAAACATTTTAGCAGATCAATCATCTCAAGTACTACTTATTTCGAATTTAGAAGATAGGTGCATATATGCGATTAAGGGAAATTAAGCTTAAATAAATGATGATTGTGCTTTTGCAATAAATATGGACTAATATCAACTTTAAAAATCATTTTTGGAGTTATTGTTTTTACCCTTTTACAGAAAAGTAAAGAAAAAATAAATAACACTTACTTTAGCTAAAGATTTAGCAAAAATTTAGAATGCGAATTGAGTAATAACCTAACAAAATTGTAAATTCTTCCTTTTTTTGTCTGAAAAAGTATGTTTAAGTTTAGAAAAACTATGTTTTCAACCTCTTGCAAAAATGGAAAAAAGGAGTAGCAATCTCACAATTTGAATTTAAGGTAAATACTGTTTATGGTTTTATATTATGATTAATTCTAAATTTAATAAAAAAATAGGCTTAAGCAAGTTTAAAATCTCTATTATTTCCTAAATAAGCCATTTTTATTGCTGAGAAAGAAATAAATAGATGAAGAATATATATCTACCATTATTATAGAAAAAAAGCAAGCAAAGATAAATTATTTTATTTATTTTAGTTGGCTTTACAAAATAAAGCTTAATCATATAAAATATTTAAAAGATTTTAATAAAATAACTCTAAAAATATTCTTTCTAGCTTCATTTT